CCAGATCTGTTGTGTCGGACGCTGCGAGAGTAGGCCGATCCCCACTAAGGAAGAATGAACAAGGCGAGTATGCGGCGGCTGGAGTTTATTCGAGACCGAAATGTGAACCAGACGTGAGCGAACTTACATTGTGCAGATTGCATTAGTTGTAACTCGGTCGATCATATGAGCTGATTTCAAATAACCACTGGTCCATTGATCGATGCCTTACTGGTGTGTTACGATCTAACCAATGGGCATCAGATCGTTCTGGTTTTTATGACAGGTTAGTGAGTGATCACGATTCGCGAGCTTCGTTGTTCTGCGGTCGAGAAGACGTACCGTCATCGCACGATTGGATAACGCCTACCTATCTCTTGCTTCTTATGCGCTCCCAGCGACCGAATCGATTGATGTTTACTTCAAAATGCATTATGGTTCGCAGACTATCCCCAGTACGTGAATCATACCACCGTGAAGAACAAGCTGGTTTTTGTCCCGGCCACGGATGCATGGATCAAATCTTCACGCTCCGCCAGCTCCTCGAACAACGCCGCATTTATCACAGGCGTACTATCGTTGCATTCCTAGACATACGCGCCGCTTCTGACTCTGTTGATCGACCTGCTTTATGGCGTTGCTTGCTAAAGAACGGGGTGCTAGAAAAATATACTGCCATCTTGCGAACACTACCTTCATACATCCGGCTTTCCTCGCAATTCGCTGTCAATAGCGGTGTGCGACAGGGCTGTCTATGCCCCCATTCCTCTTCAACTTCGCAATCGAAGACGTTTTGTCGAGTGCTCTAGGTTTCCAACATTTTATTCTAGATCTACCGGGTGAGCGCGCGACCGACTTAGATTGTGCTGATATCGCCTTACTTGCTAACGATCCTAATACTACCAATACTAATACTTTTACTACTGAGATTGCCCGTCTCAATCCACTCACACAAAGCGTGGTTCAAAATAACCCACAGAATGAACAGCATAAAACCATTGTTGAGAATATTTGTTGCCAAAATTCCTAGCTTGAAAAACAACCGAACACCCTCATACTATCATTTGTTCCGCCTTCGCATGAATATGTACATGTGTGACCAGTCAGGTTTCAGATATATCTTACGACATCCGTGGGTACCACCCGTAAAACCCAGTGGATCGGGGCGTTTCGCAAACTTATTTTCTTACATTAATATGAATTAATATCAGAAATCAGTTCCGGGTGAAGAATTCTTTTCGGTAACTCTCATCGGACCCAAATGCTTACAAAATACTGATAGTTTGGGGTAAGCGTCAACTCGGGCTGCGATTTACTTCTGGACTGTTTGAATGATCAAAATCGATAACTTGAGACAGAGGTAGTAATGATAAACCAAGTAAACTAACTACGCATACATACGCAAAGCTCAGTAGTCCAAAGTAATTAACTAGGTAAAAGAACAGCCAAGTAACTAAGTAACAGTGTCCGTTGGCCAAAGCAGTAGTATCGGACGTATGAATCGTTTTTGTATACACAATTCCGGCTTCAGATGGTGAATGTAGATAGCCTCGGCGATGGATAAGAGCTGTTTGCGGAATCCTTGGGTGTAGTGTTCATGTAGTGAATAAATGACTTTGAAGTCATTCTCTGGAGCTGTGTGGCCACATTCAAGGTGCGACATGCTTGAGCTGTCTGAAGACCTCATTTCGCCTTTGTAAAACCATGCCGGGATGTGTTCACGAATCCTCTGATAGGCGTCTTGTCGTGTGACCCACATATCGTGCACCACAGGAGCACGAGTACTGATAAACGATCATTGAACGCGTCAACAACAATAGTCTATCCTTCAAGGGTTTCGTAAGCAACGGCTTGTGAAAAACGATTCTCAGGCGGGCCGCGAAATAATTTTTCTCGACAGCGTCTTTCAGGCGTCTGGATAACATATCAGCTGCAGAATCGCCCTTAGAGGGTATATGTATGAAAAGCTCTTTCTTAGGAGCAATGCTCCTAGGTGGCTTTCAAATGTTTCAGGATAGCCATTTTCCCTGCGGGCGTCGCTGATTCTCTGTAGTTCTTCGTTGACGGTATCCGGTGTACAAATACTGCGCGCCCGGAAGGCGAGAGATCTGATTAAACTCCGCTTATGCTGTAGTGGTACTGCGCTGTGGAAGTTAGTGTACTGCCCAGTCCATGTGTGCTTTCTGTGTACCGTTCTGCTGCATGATCCGTCCGAGAAACGGATAACCTCTACATCTAAGAAAGGTAGCCTGTTTCTGAGTTCGTGTTCACAAGTGAAATGGAGATTCTCGTGTGCGTCATTGAAAGCTTTCAGCAACTGTTCTGCATGCTTTTCGGATTTGCAAAGTACGACAGTGTCGTCAACATACCGTACATACATTTCGGTTTCGCGGATGTGCGTTGCAAGTGGGCCATGTTCCAATTTCGTCATGAAAATATCAGCCAGCAGTGGCCCCAAAGGAGATCCCATGGCCACTCCGTCAATCTGACGATACATTTCACCATTGAAGGTGAACTGAACATTTAACGTGCAACGAAATAGCACCTCCTTTAGTAAATTCTCCGGAAAAGTTGCGTATATGGGCAGTTGCCGAGCAAGCTCGCATACGTAATCCACGGTTTCGAGCAATGGAATGTTTGTGAACAGCGACTGGGCATCGAATGATATCATCCTTTTGTTAACAAGGTTGCTTTCGGATATCCTCTCAATGAATTCGATGGTGTCCCTCACGCAGTAAGTACAAACCAAGTTCCGTAACGGCTGCAGCTTCGCCACCATCCACTGGGCCAGCAAATGCTGAGGAGAACTCACCATGTCCAAGATTGGGCGCATTGGGACGCCTTCCTTGCGAACTTTAGGCAGGCCATATAATCTCGGTAGGCGTCAACCTGAGGGCTTCAGCTTTTCGAATTCGTTCTTCGTGATAAGATTGGCTTGCATCATTCGCCTGAGGCAGCCGGTTAGCTGTTTCTCTAACCCCTGGGTTGTCTCTTCCTGCCATGAGCCTCTGAAACTTACTCTCGTCACTGAGGATGTCCTACATTTTATGGATATAATCCATCCTGTCCATTAGCACTATGCCGGTGCCTTTGTCTGGCTTAGAGATTGTTAATTCGTTGTTTAACCGTAGCTCTTTAAGTGACTGAATTTGTTCCCTAGTGATAATACTATTACTAGATGGTTTGGTCCTAAGGTATTCGTGACAACTATGAACTAGGTTAGATTTTAGATTCTCAACGTCACTTGATGAGGTTGGAAGCAGGTCTTTAGTCTGAGCAATTAGGCTTTCAAACTGCACCTCTAAAGCCGCCTGATCTATTTTCTTACATGGTATGCAAAACTGGACCTAATGACAACACATTCAGCCGCGTCTGGGTTAGTATCAAATTTGAAAGCTTAAACACATCGCTGAGGATTATTCGGAAATGTCAACTGGGGAACATGGCTATTAAGCGTACTAACTAACTTCTTTTGTTTCCTTACTCCCATTTTCTGTTTAACCAGTTCTACATATTCCTCAAAAGGTTGTCTCAAGTCTTCAGGCAGGCGTAACACCGCCGGTAATCTTTGCGAAATGAATCTCTCCAGCTCCGACATTTTAACGCGGATGGAATCCACATAATTGAGCGCATGTCTCTTCAAGCTTCTTGCGTTTGCGTGGAGGCCACCCCGCCGTATTTCCCTCCAAAAGTGCTTTGGATAGCGCTTTGCCTGCACGCATTCGTTAAGGAATTCCAATTCGACCCTGGATTCTTCCAGCCGAGTATTGAACTTCAGATACTCATTCAAGAGTTTCAATGAATCACGGGCAATGCTGGTCTCCAGCAAAGCAACGATTCCCATTCCATTAATATGAATCAATATCAGAAATCAGTGTTTCGTAAACGTTTGGGTCCGATGAGAGTTACCGAAAAGAATTCTTCACCCGGAACTGATTTCTGATATTGATTCATATTAATGGAATGGGAATCTTTGCTTTGCTGAAGACCAGCATTCCCCGTGATTCATTGAAATTCTTTTCTTACCTTGTATTGAGGCATCTACAGTGTTATTTTCTGCTGTCCTGTAAGGGAAATGTATTTGTTTTTCCCATCCTATCTGCAATTGGTGAGGGTGCATGTATACTTCTCTCAGGAACCCCGTGGGACACATTTGCTCCTATGCATTTGTATTTGAAAGTGTCTTCTAATGGGATATAGGCTTGGATGACTGCGTTTGTGCCAGTGCGTTATAGAGCTTGATTTAACACAAGCACTGGTCCAACTATTCAACATGCCGAAGCACTGCTTCACTTGGTGTAACCCTCAAAAAGTTAGTGTGATTGTTTGGAGGTGATCGAAAGGTAAGTTCTGATAACTCTGCTGAATTACTGATGCCGTGACTGGCTCAGCATATGTTATGCCCGTTCAGTTCGATAGGATTGCAGCAGAGCAATCGATTATCTGTTATCATACGATGAACTTTTATATCTAGTCGGTATGCTTGGATTATAGACATCCGGTACAACTACTGACAGTCGCTTACTTGGTTGACATCAATCCTTCTATTACGTCCCCCATTAGTAGCTGTTGGTCCTTACAGATGGTAGAATGCACATGCTTCGTAACTGCATCCAAATCGGGGTAGTTCCATTATAGGATTTTAGTTTGACCGCCACCGTGCACATGTCCAGTCTATCTTGTTTCTGCTAATTTTCTTAACAGTGGCCATTAAGTTCTGATTCCGCACCAGTTCATTTTCAACGTGAGCTCGAACCTCCTTGGATGCAACTTTCCTGATCCCTTTCTCATTAAATCCCACTCGTTTTGATTTAGTTCCACATTTCCTCCATTGTTCTTATTTTGTAAAAGTTAACCATCATCTTGATATAAGTGATGGAAACTGAATCCAATGTGTCGAGTTGCTGTGATCCTAGTTGGTTAATTGACGTGTCTTTTGCTTAATTTTTCAGCTGATGCTTTCACACAGCTGATTACGGAGGTCTTTCTGCACCATGTTCATTTAATCCACGATCCCGGGAATGTTAGCCCAAACGTTTCAAGAAGCTACAGAAAGTGGTCCTGGTACTTCCACTGCTCCATGCAGTGGTTTAACCGCTGACACTTTCCCTGTGATATCGTCCACTTTTTCACAGAACGATATTCCCATCCGAGAAAAACCGCATTTACCCTGCAGCACTCGATTGGCCCCTTTAAGTGGCAAAAAAATTTTCATGCACTATGATCCTGGCACGCTTCCAGACAGGCGCGTGGAAATGATCCTTGCCAAGTTGAAGGCCGTGAGTGTCCATTTATTCACTTCTTTAGCTTTCTGCCAATTTGAAATGTATTTTATGTGAACATTCAAACACACAAATCTCAGTAAGCAGCATATAATGCTAATATCTACTTGAATCTTTGTGCTGCGACACATACGTAGCCTTGGGAAACACATGACCATTATGCGTTTGCACTGTAACCTTTCATATTAGTAATTAGGATCCATCGATATCTGCGAATTTTTTCTTTTTCACATTCATCTTATCCCCGTGATTCAAATTCTTTTCGTCCTATTTGTGTACCCTGTGATGGTTTATTTAATTTCTTTTTCTAGGATGTGGTCGATTTCTTCAGCCGTGAAGTTCATTATGTGATTACTAGTCGTCATCCTTCGCGTATACCTGGAAATGCGGCCAAACTCAGTCCCCGGTCAGAGGAAGTCGTCCATCTCAACCCTCGTTCTGGGCATCCTCGGGACACCAGTACGACCATTGCGTCGTCCGTGAAAATGGTACCCTCCGCCTTTACTCGGGGTCGCGCTATGCTTATGGCAGCACGGAAAGTTAGTCCAAACGCAAACTCAGTGCATGCGAGCCCACCGGAGTCTAGTCCGCTCTCCACCTTTCATCAGGTGCGTTTCCAGGAGCACATGCTGCTTCACTCTTACCTTTCTGTCAGTGCGCAAGCATTTGTGACCACATTGTCTTTCATGCTCATCTGCCTCATCGTTGTTATGTAAGGCACTTTCACGCGTTGCCCCCACTCACTGTGCCAGTTTCTTACGATGGAGTACCGATGATCCGAAAAACCTCTTCCCAACCACTGAAAGTGATACACAAGCCGGAATGCGAACCTGGCACTTCCCAGACTGACGTTAACTTTCCCGTATCCTGATCGCGACTCAGTGAACATATTGTATTAAGGCATTTTTTACCTTGCTGTGTTACATGGCGGATGCATTTCAAACTTATTTTGTCTCATACAAATTTCCCCCCTCTGTTATAGTTTTGGAGATTCTTGGCATCTTGCCACACACACACACACACACACAGAAAAGCGACAGTGGCGTTTCATTATCCGGACCACCTTTGTCATATCCAACTGCATCAGCTTCGAAGCACAAAGACACTATCGAGTCACTCCCCGTCTATCATCACCGATGCTCCCAGGTTTTTGGTGGCACACAATTGGCTCATGTTACCATTTCTTCCCCGTTTTTAATCTTCATCTTTTACAAATTTTCCAAGCCACTTGACAAGTGTCGAATTCCGGTCTTCTCCGTTTACACGATCTTTCTCAAGGCCTCACTGTGTGCTATTGTGGGAGGTGGCATGAAATACTATATCGGATAAAATGTGGAATTCTGTCCCGAAAAGTAGCACCCACATGCCATTTAATACTGAGTGCGTAACATGCAGCTTCGACTAAATGTTCTTCAATCGGTTTAGGGCAGATGACACAAGGTCAGTCGTTCATGTTATGCGTGTTCTACATTCTGTCAGGGTAATGGTGCTCCAAGACGCAATCCCTCAGCACATTTCTAAGTGGCAACCGAGGCTGCTTGTGGTGACTTTGATTAGGCCAGAACGCTGAATGTTGAGTCATGACGCACATTTCGGAACATGCGTCCTTGTTAACCCCAGTTCTCTGTATTCCACCAGTTACCCTGAATGTTCGCTCATGTATAGTCTCCGTTACACTCGATACGGTTGCGTCAGAATCCCCAACATCTCCTGACTGTCGACTGCCGGTTCGTGTGCGGTGATTTCTCGCTCATTCTTTAGAGGTAATGGGTAGCCAGGGAATGCTATCTACCACTCCAACTTTACCATCATTGTTTCCTTCTTTTGTTTACGATCTTCGACAATCTTCCCTTCCTTAGTTAACCAATAAGATGTTTTCCCCAATTTTGTCAGTCGTACTAATGAAAAAGCCGGTATGTTGTAGAAACCGAGAAATCGTCTCACATGTTGTATTTCGGCTTCTGCTGCACTCTATCAGGTTTGTCGGCAGGCTACGCTCGCTTCACTTTGTATCCCACTAGAGTTACTGTTCATTGTATCGAAAACGCACATGCATGATAGCATCAACACAATTTATTTGTGGTTACCATACGAAGCATGCACAGTTATCTCCGAGAGTGAAGCATTACTACCACTCTGCATTCGTCGTGTCGAGATCTCCTCAAATAAACTTGAAAGAATTCTCTTTTCGTGCCTTTAGACACTTAAATTGCCTGTCACGATAGTGTTCCCCCGAATTAGAAGCTCTCTGTGATGATCCAGTTACTCATATCTACTTGTGGCAGTTTTTCTTTGAAGAACGGGTGGGAAAGTTTCCTAATATTCCGAAGGATGTTATACTACAACTGTCGGGACCACGTTCGAGCTAATGAGAAGTTGTTCTGTGAGTTCACGGTGATAAGTGGGCTTCTCCATGGTTACTGCATTCTACATCATCCTTTTATGTGTTTTATCGAAGCGAGTATGTGTGACTTCGCTTTGATTGCCTCATTTGCGGTCTAAATTTTTGTCAGTTTACCGACTGGCAAACTGAAAGTGCGCGCGGGACGGAGTTCTTTTCGGATGGAGTTCCTCGAATTTGCTTATTTATTAGAATAGGCTAATGCAGGACGACACATGCCTTGGCCTATTACACACACCAAGTGTGCGATTCCAGAGACTCAGCTTTCTATGGGTACGGCTGGATATCAGCCCGTCGGTAAAAGGTAGCGTGTATGACACTCCGGTAAGCCCGGTCGTACTGTATAGAACAGAGACCTGGCCAGTTCGCAATGAAGACATTAATTGTTTGGCCATGTTTGATCACCGGTGCTTGCTTGCTTTTGGTGGGAACGCCGGGGTGAGCAACGCTGAGATTCGCCAGTTGATTTTTGGCAAGGAGTCTTCTGGTTCCTCACTCGAGTGTTTGCTGAATCTTAATAGCTTATGTTAGCTAAGCCATGTCTTCCGCATGTCGGTTGACGGGCGTCCTCGGCGTGCATTATTCGCCGTGGCTGCACCAACCTGGGCGAAACCGCGAGGTGGTCAGTCCATGACGTCGCATAGAGGCATGAAGAAATTGATTGAGAGACTTGGTCAGGCTGGCACGTGCCGTCTTCATGAATGACAGCCTCGGGATGGTCCACACTAATGGTTGGAGGCCGTACCAGACATGGCGCAATCAAACAGTCAATGGCGTTCCTGCATTCGGTTTCTTGCATCTGTTTCTTAATTTTCTTTCCATTCTGATTTGTCTAACGCATCCTCTTCTTTCTTCCATTTTCTTTACATTCTATTTGTCTTTGACCCTGCTATCTTTTTGTTGTTGTTAATTGTTATCCTTGCGATGTGAGTTGCGGCAACTGTATCCACCGCACTTCGGTGATCAGCTCGTAGTTGTTCAATTGAATTGAACTGAAGTCATTGTGGCCGGACCGGGTGGATACACATGTGACCGTCACAAGTATCGATGTAGGATGTATAATCTTTAATGGGCAACTCATTGGTGAGATAACTATGTGCTTTGTTATGTTGCATGTGTTCTCCCAAACAACAGTTATCCTTAGTGACAACCAGACACCATTCTCTCTAATAGTCGCAAACTATAATGTGCCCCAATGCTTGCATCCTTAATGTACGTATCATAGGTAAGATACCTTCGCTTTGATGACACGGAGAATTCCCGTCGTTGACTGTTACCGCCGTCTTTGAAGTATTACTCGTATGTGGTCAGAGCATCGAGTTGATGCTACCGGAGTTTGGTTGCCTACCGGCTATTCTGGCGTGCATTGCTCACCACTTCATTTGCTGAAACCCCAATGCCTCTAGTTGGTGCGATGACAGAAAAGCTCAAAAAACTGGTTGATGGCCTTATTAGCAGCGGCCGCATCCAATTGGGTGGAACTCCAAATGAACCAGGGTATCAGTAGGGATTGCATGTCGCAATCCGACCACAGGGCGGGTACTCTAAATCCAACTTTGGATTGCTTACCTCTGTACCAAACGTTGTTCACGGATTTTACTGGCATAAGGTTCAAGGTGTCAGCCGTTAATTACTAGGCCCCGAGTTCCACCCCACCTCAGGCTGTCTCCATCTGCTGAGTCCAAACGAGGACGAAACCGGTTATGAGATGTCAGTGTTGGGAGGAGCAATACCGAAACACCTCCATATTGGATACGGTCATTGTGATCGGAATGATCTAGATCTACTTCAAACTGAACCGAGGTCTCATTAGAAATTACGTGTCGCAATCCACCCAAACGGTAGGCATTCTAAGTCCAATTTGGATACCTTGAATTATCTTTGAAATGGCAAATGAGCGTGAAGAAGGCCGCAAAAACATTGGATGGGATTGGCGTGTATTGTCCGGACAGAAGTCTCTGGATTATTCACACGTACAACTAAGACCTTTATCATATAAATGTCTATACATGAATTCGGTGACGTTCTTGCACCCCCTCTTTGTTTCTGGGTCCCAACTCTTCATCTGATGACTTTATTTCTTTCTCTAGCACTTGCATAACCTTTCCCTCACTCCACTATGTTTTCAACTATCTTTTCTCCATCTGAGTTAATGCAACTGGACCCACCACAACTCAATGCATGAGTCGTAGTTGAACAGCTACACTGAAATTCGTCCCCTTAGGATGTCCAATATTTGGCACCCTAATTTGTACATCATCTCAACCGGCCGAATTGAGGGAGACCGCATTCATTTGTACTCAATTAACTGGGCTTTACGCGCGGCTACCGAGGAGACCATGTCACACTAACGTCCTTTAAAGTCGCCTCCAGACGCAACAATTCCTTTATGGTTTGATCATTCGAACTCAATCCTGGGTCTACCACACAATCTATCTGTAGCCAATGCCGTGCCACCCAGAGGACACGAAGCCCATCGGGCTGCCATTTGAAGTTGGTATCTTCAATTTGACAACTAGTACCGTGTACATTGAGTGTTCCAAGCCACTTCTGAGTTTTCTTTGAACGGTGGTCTGAACAGGTGAAAGGAGAACACATGCTTCGCGATTGTGAGTCAGTCCAGGGTTCTCTGGAGTTATACCGAAGTCCGCATCCTAAAGGGAAGCATCAGGTAGAACTCCTCCCGAAAAACCATTATTTCATTGAGAAACGGTTTACGCAGATAGCATTCGACATGCGTATCTGGCTTTTTCATAAAAGTCCAGGGACGTCATGTGACGCTTCCGACTACTAGAAACCTGGTTGAATACCTAGCTATAGATTTCTTTAGTGCCCCATGATGCTGAGGCTGATGTTGCATTCATGATGCTACTTCACTCGGCCGGTGGCCGAGTGGTCTGCACGTTTGCTTTGCAACCATAAGGTCACCGGTTCGAATCCGCGTAGGGGTGGGCGTCCTCGCGGTATACTCAGCCCGTGCGTGACTGGTGGTGGTCGCGCGGCAGCGAAACGCCGTTACGGCGTATAAGCTGACACCTTTTTTTCACCGCAGTTGGGCTAAACCAACTAACACTTAAACTAGGTCTTTTTAAGCTGGATCAATTTCTTTCCACTTTATTTGGTTTGTTCCGCCTACCTGAATAATCTTATATCAACTGGCCACGCTGCTTACGCTAGTTGTAGTTATCTGTTAACTTTATTGCGTTTGTAGCATTTTTTGAATAACTTCTGGACATTTTGTACTTATCGCGGATTCCATGCTAAGCAACTTACATCATATGCTACTTTAGGGAAGAGTATTGTCTGCATATTCGTATTCTTTAACAGATCTATTTTATTTGATAATGTCATTTCAAGTGATTGGCTGTTGTTTGACATCCCCGATGTGGCTGCGCTTAATGTGCTTGTTGACAAGGTGCCTACCTGTCTTCTACCCACTACCTCGTCCATACTGGCTCCAGGAAACACTTGGTCGTATCTGGAGGGGACGGGGTGCACGGTCCTTGTGGCCGTGCTAGGCTCGAATAGTGGTTCCATGCACTCAGTGTGGACCGGACTGCGGTCTAGCCACCGCCTTGTGTGCGATTGATTCCCAACTACAGCGTGCTTATGTTTGCCTGTGAAAGAGTGTGGGCCGGCTCCGTTGATGCAACGTGGCTTCCATCCACATGCCTCCCGGTCTTATTCCTTCGGGTTTACACTGGATATGGGGTGTGTGGATGGAGCTGTGGGTGGTGCAGCGCAAGTCACTCATGGTCACTCTGTGGGTGAGGCGTCCTGTGGCTGGCCAGAGTGACAGACAAATCTGAAACCGGATGCCACCAACCATATTTCTTTAACAGCTGACCTAGCTGTTCTAGAATATGAGTGCTCACAGCTGCATAACAAGCACAACTATGGTTTTGACCTCATTCCTCTATTTATACAGCCATTATGTGAAACAAACTTTCGCCACAGTCATAAATTTTGATTCCGGTTGGCTTGAAAATCATAGTCCCGGGTTTAATACTGAATCCCTATGGCAAGCTAATGGCAACGAAAATATTTCAGTCTATGCTACCTTTTGCCCGTGGATCAGTCAGAAAGCCCTGTCTACATACCTTTTTTCCTAATTGTAGTATTGTTTCACTGGATTATATTTCTCGTAAATTTTCATTTCTCCTGTACATTCCTGTCTATATATCTAACTGATTGCTTCTCGATCTCAATGTCTCATCATTCTACGTGTCACTGTCGACTACAAAACGTGATGTGTTTGAACACCCTCCCTTCTGTTCTTTACCCATGTGAAGGTCCCTTGTACCATAGTGGTTCTGATTAAATCATACTTTACCGGATCGTGTCGATTGTTGTCGACGGAATTACCGTTAAATCTCTATCCAATTTTCGTTTTCTGCCGAATTATATGCTTGATTGTACTGCATCAGCTTCCCGATCGTATAAGGTTTGTTAACACTTTCATTCCTAAGATTATCATTTGAGCTTTGTGCATACGTCCTGATACCATTTATGCCTACACTTTCCATACTACTGATCTAGAAACAGTGTTGTGTATTAAACCAGACGCACTATTCGACGTAAGTGGTAACTAAATGTAACTTTTTACTGTCCGTTCATTGTTGGATTGCCGATGATGTTGTCTGTCTGGTCCGTAGTTTAAAGGTAACCAGCTTATACTTTGACGGCGCGGGTTCGAACCTGCGTAGTGGCAGGGCGACCCTCGCTGTATCCTTAGCCCACGTGCGACCGGTGGTGCTTGCGCGGTAGCGAAGCGTTGGTACTGCGTACCGACGTACTGCTGATGCTTTTTTTCCTTTATCTGTTTATCTGTTTAGGCGGCCTCTACTTCTGTTGATTTATTGCATCAAGTTTAATGAATTTATCCCCACTTTTTAGTTTCACGATTTTATCTGGTCACATTTCGGTGACCTTACTGCTTGCGCAACTCGGAAGTGCTTCAGTTCCATTTTTACCGCGCGATATCAGTTAAGCTGATCAGAAATGCTTGAATTGTGGAGCTCTCGAGAGCAACAACCCGAGTCGGTAGCATTCACAACTGAGTTTGCAATTTATCATGGCCTCTAACAAAATGCTCCGTTCTGTCTCTCACTACTTCTCCCATTCATGCTTTGTAGCTTGCCTATTCAAAAACGATCGTTTTCTGTTCATACGCTACTTTGTCCTTAGATGCGACTGAAGAACACCTCAAGTCAGTCATCAACTCCTGGTCGCACCGTTTCGCATTCCATCAAAGGGGAAAACACGGCACCGATGTCTTCTAACGATCTGCTTGTTCGCGCTCGACACCTTGGCATACGCATTTTGACTCTCGACTGTAAGTGTTTTTGTGTGCACTGATGGATCCGGACCATGCTCCCTTCAATTTTGTACAGCACCCGATGTCACCCTACAAACTTTCACCCGATTTTAGGACCACGCTGTGACCTGCTTTATATCTCTTCGAACTTGAATGTTTTCCTTTTGTCTCCGGTCTGTAGCCTTAGAGTTCACAAGCCTGTCTTCTAATCTGAGGGCGCGGGTTCGAGCCCGCTTAGGGATCGGGCGATCATCGCAATATCCTTAACTCACGTGCGACTGTTTTTGGTTCCGCGACAAAGAAGCGTCGGTACTGCGTACCGGCGTACTGCTGATGCATTTTTTTTGCCTTCCTCAAATTGCATGTAATCTTCATCTTTCGTTTCATTTCCATAGTGTTAGACTTCACCCAACTGATGGTATGCGCTTTGATATAACCGTTAGTGAGTACAAGGGAGCAATTTCTGCCTCTTGCACCTTTGGTAATTCCACTTGTATGAACTTTACTTCTTCAGCTTGTCTATTAGATGACCCTTAAGCAGCAGACTACTTACCGCGGAATATCGGATCACTACCTTACTCTGGTCGCGTGCGTACGGCTTCTGTCCATACCAGTCCTCCCCAATGTTTTCTGGTTATGCTTTCTCGGCCCACGTTCAATCAAAAATTTTATTCCTAGTGCGACTAGTTTCCGAATTCTTCAACTATAGACTCCGTGTTCCACCGTAGGAAAACAAACAGCATAGAATGAGTAGAGGATTTTTGATGGACATAGTTGAGAATTCTCTCGCAAGAGATTCCAAATCAGATAGTCCTTTCTGTGTCCGAAGAAGCAGTAGACAGCTGTTTCGTTCTGTTGGAACCCATCATCAGACGGCATCCATCGAATTCATCATGATCCGTACCCATGGTCACTAGCGTGTTGCATGACCGGCCAGCAGCTTAAGCCACTAGACCATGAGGGACAGCGACGGACATTTACTGGAATTCTCGTCTTTCGGAACCAACTCTGCCCTTTACCACATTCGCAAAGTGCCTAGCAGTAAAGATTGCGGTGCTGTATTGCAGTTAGCTTGTAAATCATGACGATCCGTTTCAGTCTTCATGGCTCAGTGTCGTAAGCTACTGGCTGGCAGTGCCCGACGCTAGTTGTCACGGGTTCGGATTCTAATGGATGCACACTATTGACGGTACCCAAAAAGTCGAAACGGCCGTCTAGCTACTTTCCGGGCATGGTGAGGACTATCTGGTTTGGGAGCTACTACCAAGGAACCCACAGGTATTTCCACCTGTGTTAACGCCCCACCGAATAGAGCACATGGGCCCTAAGTTGTGCAACTTTGGGGCTCCAAAAATGACGACGTGGGACATGAATTGCGTAGCCAATGAAACATGATTTATTAATGGACTGATCTCACACCATTAATTTTTTATGCATGCCTGAGAAGGTCTACGGTTAAAGGCGAACTAGTTCTTTTAACGCTATACAGCGAATCCCGGATACCATAATTCGACCGGTTCTGAGGTTATAAATCTAAAAAGCCGTACTCCTCAAGAAGCAGCTTTTACTCTGGAACAAGGTTGCAGAGTCCCTCTGGAGTCTGGTTAATACTGGCCACACATAATCTTACTGCAGTTAAATCAACTTGCTTCTGTCCATTGATCTCATCAAATGACATGCTTTCGATCACAATCAACCGTAGTCCTGCTTTGATTATCTTTTACGTTATTGGCCTGGAACGAGTGGTAATCAATCCGTGAATAACGTGGAACGCGAGGACTCTACGCCAATAGAACCTCATTTGCAAGCAGTAAACAATTGTCTCATGGCTGAGCTTTAAGAACTGCTAACACAGTTACCTCCCTCATGCCACTTATGCCACGAATGCTGAACCTGAGCACATCCGGCCTCCAGCGTTCAACTGATCTGATGCGAGTGGCTCCGAGGCACTTTTGGAATACGACTGGATTTAATACGATAGTCCGTGTTCCGCGCACCATTTTCATCCCTTTACCGAAGTGTCTCACTCGATATCCGTCTTAGTTTTGGGGTATACTACAAATAAGTAGTACGGATAAAAACCCATGGGCATGTTGAAATCAGAGAAACCACGGTTCACTGCGGATGAGGGACGTGTCGTGCACAAATTAACCACCACTGCTACGTTGTGCATGAAACCTTGCTGCAGACCGGAAGATCAAAACGCCACAACGAATGGAGCGCACAAATGGGCTCCATTGTTCTATGTTCTAGCTATTATGCGAGTTTGACGTGCGTTCTCTAATACACAACTTGTCTGCGGCGCGTTGCCTTGTCAGCATCTGATGCCGTGACCAGTCAGGGGATTGAAATAAAAATCCCTTGTACGGATCCATTTGTGAATAAGAACTTACCGAATACTCCGGATATGTCACGGACGCAGTCGGAGTGAAACGGGCGTAGGAGGTGGTTCATCTAAGAGGTCTCCTCGGAGTCAGTGGAAAGGCGGCGCGAAATGACCCTGTCAAGTTGGAATGAGTCACCACGAAGAAGGCGCTCATTGCTGCCGACCGGTGGGATGCGATACAGTGGAGTGGGAGTGGGTCCATTCGTCTTTGCGGTCCACTTCAGTGACTTGCTGCACCAAACGCTGCCCTAATTGGGCGACTGATTATTACAGCAACTGTTAGTAGAACAGCTTCTGGATGCTCTAACTCCGGCAATGGCAGATCCACCGCTAATCAAGAACGCCACTCAGAGAACAGGAGTGGCGAAACTTGCCCGAACGACAAGCAGTTTGTATACGAGGCAGTCGCGGCATTAGAAACAGAAGACCATAAAGACGGAGCGATTGGACAGGCTGGAGCAGATTACGCAAAATGTCGGGGCACTTCGAATTCCCCCTCAGACCAAATGGGCGATGCTTCTTTTGCGGGAATCTGGGACACTGGATACGGCAATGTTATCAAGGTGCACTATACCCTTTGTACCAACTAATATTGTTCTCGTGTTGAAGGGTATATATTCGGGGCGCTGAACATAGGTGCGTGCGATTGAAGCGATTGTATAGATGAGCAGAGGAACAGACAATGTGTCATCGGAACTATGGCCAACAAGGCGGTAAACAAAATACAACAACAGAAGAAAAACCTTTTTCGATTGATTAATGCAGGAGCCGCGTTCTCCCTAATCAGCCATAGATTCTTGCATTGCCGTGTGCTAGATACTACTTTTGCTTCGGGATTACTGTGTTTTTCTGTGTGAATTGTGCACCAATGTTTTACTTTTGGTGTATTTTTCAATCTGTGCAAATTTAGTGGATATTCTCTGGCTAATTTCGGAGGTCTCATTGATTGGCCCAACTGCCGTCTGTGTCTACCATCTTGGATTTGTTCTACCTTGCGATGCCCCCTCAAGCTACCTCTGGTTCGTGTTCGAAAGCTGTTGCACATAAGACTCATGCACTTCGGTGCTTCGACCGCGATGTTTTGTTCCATATTTCGTACATTGGCTTATCCCCGGACGTTTTTCAGAAATCTCTCGACATTGGACATCGGTTTTTTAGGTTATATGTGATAAATCTCGTGGTTCAAGACATCAAAATACATAGCGACCACCACCGACTACAGCGAAACCTCTCTTCTAGGCAGCAACAAGCCGTTCACCTCGTGAGGTCAAACGCCCTTGTGAAAGTACTTCTGTCAGCTCGCTTTACCCTGCGATCTGCACTACCACCAGCGTCTCCGACCCCTCTCCAAGTCTCAGGTTCAATGTTCCCACCGATGGAAGACTCAGACTCGGAATCTCCGAAATGGCACTTCATTGATCGGTCCAGGAATTTCTCAGAGCCTCTCTGCGAACCTCTGATCACCGAGGATCCATGGACTACTCTAAAGCGTAAGGGGCCACGTAATCGAGCTCAGGCGCCCCCTGCTGCTAAACATCAAGCCAAACCAATAAGCGTCTCTAGTCCTGCTCCCACAGGTTCATCACCGATTTCGCTGAGACGCCATAATCGCATGGTCTTCTACCCACCAGAGTCAAAAGATGAAAACCCTCAGCTACGTTATGATCACGATGTTCAGTTCCTCCAGGGGCCCATCGGTAGACTCTTGGATGTAGGTGAAGGCAGTGTGACGCTTAAACAGATAGTCCGATTTGGCCAGCAAACTAACCAGTCATGTAGACCTTTGAGAATGACCTTTGCAAATCATAATTCTCCAGCCCATACTGTCTCTTCTATCAAAACTGAAAGGTACAAAGGTTCACATCCGCCGAGACTTGGAACCCGAAGACAGAAATCGTTTGTAGACTGTGGTCATTGAGCTCAAACTCCATACAGAAGAAGGTGAGACTGATTTACTAATTGTAAATTTTCGGGTGATCAAGAAGGGTGTACGAACCTGTGTCAACCGGTTGCTCAACCTTCAGGCACGTCCCGCGGTGTTTCCTAGGACCTCCGGATGGCATTCGCCAACGTGTGTAGCTTAATGAACAAACGTGACGAACTGTGCCGCTTCGCTATCTCGGAGCGGCCGGACGTTGTAGTACTTGCAGAGACTTGGCTGAACTCCGACGTCATACCCTAAGAAGTCGCCTTATCAGGAGAATCTTGCTTCCCATGCGACCGAAAATCAAAAGTTCACGGTGGTGTTCTGTTGTACATCAAATTGTCACTATTTGACAAACTTATCAGCACCTATCGGTGCGAGGACAACTTATGCGAGCAATTGTGGTGCACACTCCGTCTCAGACAAGCAGTGGGTGTTATCTACCATAGGCCATTAAACCGCTGTTGCGATTGGCTACCACATATACAGAAGCACATGAGCCGCCCTCAATTCTTACTGATGGGGGAACTAAATTTACCTGATATTCTGGCCAGACGTTCGGCTTCTTCCAAGTCCTGGCGACGTTGAAGCTCTGTTCGCTAAAATGACTATTGAAATCGGGGCAATGCAACATGTCATCCGGCCGACACGCATAACTCCTCACTTGGGATCTTGTTTGGATCTAATGTTTACGAGCTGCGCGCAGAATCTGAAAGAGGACAGAGTCATCGAACCTCTAGCGAACCGTGACAACTGTTCCATTGTGGCAAGCATAGAACTGCCGTTGCCGTACTGCAACCAACGGAAGCCGATATTCAACTGTTGGAAGACGGACTTTAACGGGCTCGTCCAAACCACAAGTCAGGCTGATGGGGAACCACCGCAGCATGCGTCGTTTGAGGCCTGTTGGTCATTAATGAAGAAGAAGCTTAACTTGCTGTCGGATCTGCCAAACCGCATTGGTTAAATAAGGAATATAAACAGTTAGCGCGACGGCGTCGCAACCTTTGAAATAGATACATAATCCCGGGTTGTGCTGAAGATTACAAGAAACAGCGTAATCTATGCAACCACACAAGTATCAAGAAACTCCGGCAGTTCGAAGTGGGGCTAGCAGCCTCGATCCCAACCGCCGCCAAGGGAATATTCGCCTACTTGAAATGTCAACTGAAATCTGCGGGCCACCTACCGGTCATAGAGAGCTTGAACGGGCAGTCGCTCATTTCAAACGCGGAGCACGCGGACGCCTTGGCTTCGCACTTCCTCGCCGTATTTTCCAGTAAGCTGGCACAGGTTGCGCCAGTCTTGTTCGATAGCCTACAATGTGATGCAGACGAAGTGTATCACCTACTCTTCAACCCCAATAGTACAAGCCCCCGGACCAGACGGACTTCGCCCACTAATACTTAAGTCTCTTTTGAATGCCATCTCACCTACCGTGGCAAACCTATTCAGTAAATCGCTTTCTGAACTATCTGTCCCCAACTACTGGAAATGCTCGATAGTAAGACCGCTTCCCAAGGGTGGTGATCCGAGTAAATTAGAGACCGATCTGTTTGACTTCGATGTTGTCCAAACTTCTCGAGAAGCTTGTGAAAAAGTGCCTGCTGTCGTTCTTTGAATCGATGGACGTATTGACGTCAGCGCAACACGGCTTCACGAAAGGGCGATCCTGCATCACCAAAATGTATGCAGACCACTAGTTGGTACGAGCTCTCAAGGAACGGAAGGATGTTAACGTGGTGTACATTGACTTTGGTAAGGCGTTTGACAGAGCGAACCACGAGGTACTACTTCGTAAACTGAGTACCTATGGATTCGTTGGCACGCTACTTCAGTGGTTACACGAGTTCCTTGTGGGACGGAAGTTTAGAGTACAGGTCAATGACTACCTGACTGACTGATTCCCATCGACCAGTGGCTTGCCTCGGAACTGCGCTTGGGCCAGTGTTATTTCTTATTCACATCAACGATCTCCCGCAGCAGCTCCAGACACCATATGCACTGTTTGAAGATGATTTGAAAATCTGGAGGATCGTTGAAAACCAGGAGGATTGGGCTCACCTCCAGAATGACAGATGGACTGTTTGCAATGATTCGGAATACCTGTAGCTCGGGTTGGTAATTAACGTTTTGATACGTTCTCCGAGTTCGGAGAACGAATCAAAACGTTGACAGATCGGCTGTTAACGTTGTCTACTGTGATACAACTCCCACTTAACGCAAGCAAGTCGGAGTTCATCAGTATCACCAGACGTGCGACCACTCGATCATACACCTTGGACGTCCAGTTACTCCACCCTAACACATCTGTCAGGGACTTAGGAGTGTTCTCGAGACATGATATGAGATCACTAGAAAATACAGAGAAATTGTACCGTGCGGAACTTTATGTGCTCTGGGCATTACGGCGCAGTTTCTCCACATGGTCTGAAGGAACCGTTCCTCGCCTATTCACCTCGCTCATCAAAGTGGCCCTAGTTCTTTGTGATTTTGAGATATACACAACCCTTTACGCACCAACATCACAGTTAAAAAGTTTTGTGGGTGATCTGTCCTCGGCCTTACTACCGAAACTTGAGGGGTCTGTCTGTGTCATCTGTGGGTACTTCAATAAATATTTTTACCAAATTCATCCAGGCACTTGCTCAGACCCACTTAGTGGCAATAGCAATGCATGCGCTAGACACGGGGTACGAAATTGACTTCGAAAATGTCGAGGTTATCATGAAGGGATTACGATCCGCCAAACAAAGGCTGATTGCTGAGGTTATAGGAATATCCAAAGCTAACAACTGCGTGAATAGAATAGACGGTGTAGGGCTGTCTAGTGCCTGGCGTCCAGTCTTACTCCGGTCAGGTCGATAAGCATCGGTGGAGGGATCCCAAATCGGAATGGACTATCGACCCTCCCTCCACCAAATTCCGAAGTACTAAAGCCAATTTATATCAGTGATCAGGTTCCTTGAAACGGACCACTTAAGATTGCTGGACACACATCCTCCGACCAGCAATTTCTTTTCCCCATTTGACCCTGACTGAAACAAACCACAGTGTACACACGAGCCTAGTGACCTTTGACCGTTGTAATCTTTCATCGATGAACTGCAAATTGATTAGTCTCTGTATGTAGCTTAGCCATGATCGTTATAAAATGCCAATGTTAAGCTAATTCACTTCGCCTGCTAAAGCTTTTGTGTCAAAAGCGAAACGTTGTGTATCACCATAAATACATTCACCGGTCGTCTACCAAGTTTTCTGAAATGGTGACTTCCCGATCGGTTCCATATCTGTTTCAAGATATCGATAGTGGTCTTTCCGATCATAATAGAAGTGCAATTAGATTTCGTCTTCACGATGCGGATTCGGCTGTTTTCTACGCCGGGACCGACTTCACTCGGCAACTGATCATAGTGTCGTAGAGGGATGCCCCGTCGTTTACATCAAGACAGAATTGTTCATCAGCAAATAAGCCCATTAAAACGGTCAGGTGACAAGATTGTTCACAATCCAATATTGCAAGATTCCAGACTGTGCTGTTTTCCAAGGATTTTACAATTTCCAACAACCACAGTTTGTCCGCTCAGTGCGACCGCCTCACGGAATTTCTCAACTTTCACTTCGATCTGCACCGCCCGATTGAAACTATCTGCTTACGAGTAGATAGATTTTTCTCATTGCCACTTAAATGATATAGAAGGAGAAAGAGCGGGCCTATAAATGTAAATTCTGCCCGTGTTAAATGACTCTTTGGCATTAAAGACAAATTTTACGTGTGTGCAATTCATGCGTAGAAGCGGTTTTATGCTAGCATAACTGTCGTGACCTGTGGAAACTTTTAAAACAGCTGTGATGTGAAAGTTCCGCTAAGCCGTCTGATGCTGTGGATGTGGATAAACTCAATCCTGAGCTCTGCTCTTCCCCACAGGATGCATTCTTCTCGCCTTCGTTCTCCGCCTCTGGTTCCGCAATTGCTTTCCAACACTCTACCGGGAATTCAAGAAGTCGAAACCAAAGAAAGCTAATGGACGCTAGACCCTCTGACCAGTTATTTTGAAGGAATGGGCCGATTCCCTCGCCATACTTTTGACAGATCTTTTCAAGCCGTTACCTACATGGTAACACTTCCCGGTACTTGACGGTCCATCAGGTTAATGCCCGTGTCAAAGAAGGAAGCCCTTAAGAATTCCACCTGTACGTCTGTTATCCTGAAAGTCAGAGTGGATAATTGTGCCTTGGATTTCTACAAGCTTTCTAGCTACTAATGTATCCTAGTTTGCCTATAGACCCAGGCGTTCCACTTTGGATGCCGTAACAGATCTTTCTCACTCAGTAGCGTCTACATTGGATGCGAAATGCGAGACTGTTTGGCTTTTGTTCCTTGGTTATTCAAACGCTTTTGCACGTGTTGACTAGTCAGTTCTGCACAATTTGCTGTTTGCGAATAATTTTCCATTGGCGGTGTGCAATCTGTTGAGCAATTATTTCGTACGTCGCTCTCACTTCACCCAATTGAACGGCAGAAAGTTCTCCGCTCTTCAAAACGACTTACAGACGGTAATTCTCCGTTGTCTTATTTACTTGTACATCGAAAGCTTTCTCATTTCTTTTAGCTTTATTGGATGTACCTATGCCAACCACGTAGTTTTAGGCGGCATTGTTAAAACTGGTTAAATCATCTACGGCTCTAATGAGGATTGGATGAACTTGAGCGTGGTCATCGTCGCGGTATTTTCTCTCTTCTGAACTTACAAACTTTGGAGCTTGGCAAACACCTCTCGCTTCCTGGTTGTGAGTGGCCAATTCTTATCCAATTCACTTACTGTTGCGTACCTTGGCATACTTTTATCTCAAAATCTTCCATCTTCAACGCACGTTGACTGGACTTTCTCCGAGACTAAATACTTTCATTACCTTGTTCTTTAATACGTAACTTCGTGATTGCTTGTGTTCTTTCTCACTTGTTTTCCTGTTCACATCTGGGTTTCCATGGTCATCAAAATGAGCTTACATTAATGATTTCAGAAAGGTTTGATAACAACCGGCTGTTTTCTGACCTTTCTGAAATCATCATCATCATTATACACGTTAGCTAGAGGTGGAAAACACCTCAGCTACTGTGCCGCAATACATAAAAGAAAAACAGAAAATAAATGCAACCGTTGCATGCCGGCTGAGCTCCCATTAACGGATGTGCATCATTCCCGGGTAGCCACCAGCCGGCTACTGCACAACAACAAAACTATTATGCAAAATTATACTAGGCTAAGAAGTGACGTGGTTGGAGGGGGAGGCTAAGAGGGCTCGGGTAGAACAAAGAAACTCACAACATGAACGCCGTTGAGGTCGGCTCCTAGCCATATCAGCAAGTGTGTCCAACCAAACGTGTTCATCGTCTTTCGGACCCCAACCAGGGAGCCGGAACGCGCCGACCGAGGCCAGCTTCGAAGTGAGGACCTTCATTCCTTTCGACCAAGTCATCGCTTTCTGAAATCATGAGTTCTTGATTCGTTCCAAGCATTTTTCAGAATCTTGACTACATTAAGTTCGTGTCCTATGCCCATCGCAATAAGGCTGGACCTTATCGTGGTTCGATAGTTTGTGTGCCTCAATGATCCATTGAGCTATACTGGGTGGTGCATTTTTGCACCTTCAGAGTCACTCATATCAGATTGGTCAATGGTTAGAGGCCAGACAAACTCAACCTCCTGGTCCTCCAGGTTCGGGGTTGGAATGAGGGTGGCTCCTTATTCCTTAAAACGGACTCCTTGTAGCCCAGTGCCAAACCCGCTACCTTGCGGACAGGTTTTTGAACCAAAGGCTTTGGTTGAGAACCCCAATCGTTCTTTTGTCTAGACCTGGGCAACCTGACAGTATCCTGCCCACGCAATACAATGAGTCTCACTTCAAACAAATTTCTGATGCTCTGGCCACCGCAGAGGATAACCAACGGTGTTCTGTCTGCTGCACCGGGCAGGGTGGATAGGGGTTTGGATGCTACTGCTCAAGCATTCCCGTCTTCTTATTCCCCCTCTTGCGCTTTTTCACCCTTCTCGTCCCGTTCCAGCTTCACTTTTATCCCCTCTGTTTTCAACCCCCCAATTCTCGGCCCTCCCCCACCTTGCTTCAATAGTCGCTTGTCTTTTAGTTTCAACTCACATGTGAACGCGGAGCGTCACTCCTCTCCTGTCAACAGGCCCATGTCCAAGCAAGCGGTCCAATCCAGTTCATCGGCTTCCATTTGGAGCCCTCGATCCTCCTTCAGATTGGCATGCCTCAATGTTCGCACATTGCTTCAGATTCGTCAACAGGCAGCACTTTCCCAAACATTAGAGACCCTCTCGATCGATATCTGCTGCTTATCGGAGACCTGCCTGCAAGACTCGAGCTCTGTACTCACTCTGCGATCCCCTTCAGGTGACACTAGCAGCACTTTCTCATTGCGCGTATACGATTACGATGCAGCTTCGAGCACCGGCCAAGCCGATGTTGGTATTGCCCTGAGTCCCCGGGCTGAAGCCACCTGGTTGGTCGGATTCCAATCAGTAGCCGGATGTGTGCGGTCCGATTGGCTGACTCGTTCAAAACTTCGAAGTCGCGTGGGACTAACAGGTGTCTATTCGTTATCGCTGCCTATGCACCGACAAACTGTAGCTATGACTCGGTAAAAGACGACTTCTATCGTCAACTGAATGAGCTCCTTCGCCACAGAAGAAGCTCGGACACTGTAGTGCTGGCTGGGGATCTGAACGCACAAGTTGGAAAATTATCCGCAGATCAGCTGCATCTGGGCGGTCAGCACGGTGTAGACTCCCGTAATGATAACGGTGAGCGGTTACTTCATTTGTGTTAAGCGACTCGCTTAGTTCTTCCGAGCACTAATTTCAGACACAGCACCCGCCGGAGGGTGACTTGGCGCCCACCAGCCTCGAACCAGCTATGGACGCAAATCGATCACATTGCGATAAGTTACCGATGGAGAGGCTGTGTCCAGAATTGTCGCTCGATTTGGAGCACAAGTGTGGACACCGACCATGCACTTGTATGTGCTGACATGCAGATGCGCTTTGGCCGACACCCACGACGACGTTGTGAGCGCATCGACACCAGCCAACTGGCGAAGCCAGCTGTTCTGAATGCCTATCAAAGTACGCTGACATGCGAGTTGGATAAACGCTCACTGGATGCAATTGAAGCTCACTGGTCTCATATTCACCAGACCTTACTAGCAGCAGGAAAATCCTCATGTGGCATGTCTAATCACCAACATGGACATTGGGTCTCTTCACAGCCTCTGGAACTTATTGATGCTCGCCGGCATATTCCGGCTGGAAGCGAACACAATGAAACTCGCAAAGAGCTCCGGGCAAAACTCCGTGCTAGCTTGAAGAGAGACCGCGAATCCTGGTTGTCTAATCGTGCAACAGAGATGGAAATGGCCGCTTCCCTTGGCAACCATCGTAAGTTATTCCGCCTGATACGGGAAACAGGCAGCAGGAGACCTGGTGTTAGTGAAACCATACGTGACGAGAGTGGACAGCCTATCCACAATTAGTCAAAACGCTTGGAACGTTGGGCTGAGCATTTTGAAAGGCAATTTAATCGGCTAGAATTGTTCGATTCTTCGCCGGATAGTGATCGCCCTGCTCCGTGGGCTGTCCCTTTGGATCCACTTTCTCGCTCAGAAGTCGAACATGAGATCGAACTGTTGAGGATAAATAAAGCCGCGGGACCTGATGATCTTCCTCCAGTCCTCTTTAAATTCGAGGGACCTGCTCTTGTGGATGATTTACACGAGTTACTAGTCAAACTGTGGGAGCAGGAAACTGTCCAAACCGATTGGAACCGCTCCGTCATAGTCCCAATTTTCAAGGGAGGCTCACGATCAGAATGTGGCAGCCATAGAGGAATCAGTCTGATCTCCATCGCCTCCAAATTGCTTGCTTCTGTCATCCTTCACAGACTGACTGGCGCTTGTGAAATTCAGATTCGTGAAGAGCAAGCTGGGTTTCGTCGAGATCGTGGCTGCATTGACCACATCTTCACCTTGCGTCAGTTGTTGGAGCACCGTCACCGATATTGGCGGCCCTCCGTTGTCGTGTTCCTCGATATCAAAGGTGCCTTCGATTCCGTTGATCGATGTGCCCTTTGGAATTGTCTACTCAGGAAAGGTGTACCTGAGAAATATGTGAATATTATCCGAGCATTATATGCGCGTAGCTTACGGCAAGTTGTCGTCGCCCTTTAATATCTCCAGCGGCGTGAGACGAGGATGCCCGCTGTCACCTTTCCTCTTCAACTTCGCTGTTGACGAAGTCATGGAAATCGCGTTTACAGGACACGACTTGGAAGGTGTGGAGCTACTCCCAGGAGAACGACTTCTTGACTTAGAGTATGTTGATGATATTGCCTTAATCTGTGACAGCTCACAAACGTGTCAAGCGGCATTGGACAGATTAGCACTAGCTGTCCGTCACTTCGGGCTTTGCTTCACACCGTCGAAGTGCAAAGCGTTCCTCCAAGATTGGTCTGGACCGCCCCCTACGCTGACCGTTGGTTAGGATCAGCTAGAAGTTGTTCAAAAATTCAACTACCTGGGAAGTTGTATCAGCGCCCGTGGGATTGAGGATGAGATCACGAACCGTACAGCAAAAGCTCGGGGCACTTTTGCTAACCTTCACCACTTATGGCGGCAGCACGACGTCACTCTTGCCCTGGAGGGTAGAGTGTACAATGCAGCCGTACGTTCGACCCTGCTGTACGGTTGTGAAACCTGGCCGCTTACAGCAGCGGACTTGGAGAGGCTAGTTATGTTCGACCATCGGTGCCTTCGCAATTTAGCTCACATCTGGTGGGAACACCACGTGAGCAACGAGCGTGTTCGACGCCATTTTTACGGCACAGGAAAAGGAAATAAACCGTTCAGCACTGTTATTTCACCTACCAGGCTCCGATGGCTCGGCCACATGTTACGTATGCTAGCCCACCGACTCCCGCGACGTGCGTTGTTTGCTAGCCGGTTTGTGGATGGAAGAAGAGGAGAGGTGGCTAGGCGATAACTTGGTCGAGAGGAATGAAGGCCCTCACTTCGGAGCTGACCTCAGTTGGAGCGTCTCGGCTCCCTGGTTGTGGTCCGAAAGAAGATGAACTCGTTTGGTTGGACACACTTGTTGATATGGCTAGGAGCCGACCTTAGTGGCGTTCGTGCTGTGAGTTTCTTTGTCCCACCCCATCCCTCTTAGCCTCCCCCTCCAACCACGATCTCATTAGTTAGCCTTATATAATTTTGCACAGTAATATTTTTTGATGCACAGTAGCCGGCTGGTAGCTTACCGGAACGATGCCCATCCGTTATTGGTAGCTCAGCCGGATTGCACCAGTTGCATTTTTCCCCCTTTTTCCTATGTATTGCGGCACAGTAGCTGAGGTGTTCCCTACCTCTAGCTAACGTGTATGATGATGATGATGAAGTTCGTGTCCATGTACACTAGATTACCCAGATAGTCTCTCGTAGACTTCATGGTTACTAAGCACTTCGACAAATGTGACAGTTTTTTTATTACAGACTTTACACTGCGTCATGATTATTTATCACAAACTCTTTCCTGATCATCTACGCTCTCCAAATTTCGGGTTCTGTCTTTTTGCGCAGCATGTTTTCACCTTTTCTTGGGGACCTTAAGATGACTATCAGTACTGCGTGTGAACGTTTACTTTAGTGACATACACGTATGTTTTGCTTTTCTCGTTTTCTTGTCGTGTTAGCTTGGCATCATGCCTTATATGCATTGCTAGTGTAACACGCTAAAAATGTGTTCAATCAGGAGCCCAAATCCTATTTTGATTTGTTTTGACTTCGTATTGGCCCGGTGCAGACGGCACAATACTGCATTTTGTTTTGCGTAACAGTTTGGATCGGGAAGACGGGGCAATTGCGCATTGTCCCTCAGCACTTTCCCAACGTTGCTCTCATGTGATGTGAGCACCGAACGATTAGGACCGAAGTATGCTATTTGCTGTTTGACGTTTTAGTACCGCACCCGAGTGTGACTGTTGAACTCGAACCACCTACGTTGTTGGCTAAATCATGTTCCTTACGTGCCTGTTTACCCATTAGCTCGACGTGTATTGTTCAGCGGTAGTGCAACTAGCTGATCGAATTCTGTATACTGTCATTTGGTGGCATAACACTGAAGTTTTAAGAGATCAGCGGGGTGTATGTCATCCCACGGAAGCGATCGACCACGTCACAGTTATGTACCCATGTGAAAATGACGCAATCACCATTCGATTTCTCCCACCTGTGTCTCCTTGTCTCGAAGCGACTTTTTGATTTAACCAGTTTTCTGACTTCTTTTATACGTATGGTTCTGTTACTCGTCTTGACGTCTTCTGGCGTTTATCTTCTGTTAGTTTTTTTCTTCGTGCTTTGTGTGATGATAAGTGGATTTCCCACCCTTCCTTTCCTTGTTCATTACTACTTAGCTGTGTTACGCTGAATTTCTGAGCACCCTGTGTATGTTCTAACATGTACATCGGCCAACCAAGCCCCCATGCGTAGCGTACTCTGCTCTTTAGTCATTGTGAGTTTTTCTCAGTGTTCTAAATGCGGCACTCATCATTAGCTACAGATGGACCTGTCTTTTCTAATCGCTGCCATTAGTCCCTTTATATCTTTTACCTCATCTGGAGGAGCTTTGAGGGAGGATTTGTTAAATTCACTTGCTATCCACCGTAATTAAAGCTAGCCATTTGGCCACCAAACATCTGGAAAAGGGTTTGTCCACCAATACCTTTTCCTTGTGTGGTACTAACTTCTTGCAATATGAGATATTCTCTATCGTTTTAATGTGAAGTGCTGTTAAAAAACGTAGAGATTAAGCTACATCATTCTTCAGCTGATTGCTCGCTTGTTTCATCTCCCGGTGTCCTCTTCGGTCATGAGTTAGCGACTTGTCATGTGGTTGCCGGACCGCCGCTGATGGAATACCGGAAACTGAACCGGTCATCCCATCTTTTCACGTATCTAATGGCTTGCTCCTCGGATCGCTTAAGGAGCATTTCAGTTAACCACTCCATCTTTCTGCTCATTTCAGTCTTCTGAACAGAACGACGTTGACGAGAATTCCCCCACTATCCCGGATGATCCCGAACGCGATCGAATCTATCAAGGTATGTTCTTGTCAAGACTCTTCTCCGTCTTTTACTTCACTTTGCCTGGTACTATTCTGCACTGCTTGACGCTTGTTTGCTCGCGCGCAGCTGATGCTTTGGCGCATTCTATTCACCACATGGCTCATTCAGTTCGCTTCTGTGTTTAGCCATCTTCTGTGTCTGACCAACCCTACTTTTCCAAGTGGCACTCGAAACTCGCGCACTAGGCTAAGACTCCCTTTGCTTTCCAAAGTAGCAAGCAAACACAAAGCACATGTTAAATGGTGTTAGTCTTATGGCAGCTGATTTGAGACATGATGTGAGGCTGTCTGTCGTCTCAACTTTTGCGATTGCTAAATAAGTGGTACGCTTGAAGCCAACCAAAACTTTCGCTTTGATACAGTCTACCGTGAGACTGGCGTCCTTCAGACCCCTCATTGCATGTTAGCTTCTCACGCGTACTGCGCCTGTTGCTGTACGCCCCATCACCATTCGTTTGTAGCTCATCGACTTTAAATCTGTCTAAAGGCGCGCATCAATAGTTCTCAACGCTCATTGATCATAATTCTCTACTGCTTATCTGGCAGTCTTCGCTATCTTACTCCTGAAACGATGGACAGTTATGGTTGTAGTTGCACAGATACCGACAGCGCGTGCGTGTACCACCTCGAGGACTGCAAGTCTATAGCGTGGCACAGTTTCTAGATTACCATAGCTTTGCTCCTTACTGCTCATCGTTACACACTTCTGTTGCTGCAAGAGCACCTGGTTTGCCAAGAAATTATACTTCCTTCATTGTTTGTCTCAGATCAGTTGGTGTGGTAACATTATTATTATTATTATTATTATTATTATTATTATTATTATTGTTTTCATTAATATTCAACACTTGACCAATGTCCAGTTGGCAGTGCCACAACACATAGTTAACAACAACAAAAAGAGGGAAACGGGTAGTCATCGAAATGATTTGGAAAGTTTAGTAGGGTTATGTGTTTGGGCAAAGATCTTCCCGGTTGCCCAGGCCGAGAAAGTTGGTTTGACCTAAGAGACCCTACCCCGAACCTTTGGTCTTAAGACCTAACCCGCAAGGCAGCGGTGAGATCAACGAAGACCGTTGACATCCGGGGGCTCCTTCGCCTTCTTTGTGTTCAGTCCACAGAGAAGCTGGTAGCCAGCAAGGTTGTTCATCCGCTCTCCGTTATATATTCACCTCTGATCATAGAAGTAAGTGGTCAGTGACCCTACAGCCGGTCACATTGACTTTGACACAGCACCGTACGAGCTCTTGTGGTATTTGATGGGGAATCAGGTGACCAGCCCAGAACTCCCCAAGCTCTGAGACGCTGCCGCTGATTGTCCACGACTGCTCATTCATCTCACCTGCAAGGCAAACGAGACTTATTCGCAGTTACCTCCACAATGAATGCATTCCCCAATCCGCAACCTGGGGACGCGCCCGATAGCGTGCAGCTCTACCACGAGGTACAACTCCGAACCGGGTGTGGCAACACCCACATTCAGAACCATCCCCGTTCTTAGTGACCGTCTGCTTGACTCCACACTACAGTTCCGATGTGCATATAAAACTGACGTCATCCATTTCGAGATTTCTCTGTCACTGCTGCTACTACAAATTGTCTTTGGATGGCAAACATGGGTGGCTTACTTTGCTCGGCTCCCATACCTCATTTCGAGAAACATGCAAATATGAGTCACAATTAGCTCAAAGTTGGGTCACTTCCTTCCTCACACACATAACTAATGTACAGTCTGAGGAATCATTTTTACTAGAGGCACACAGGGTATTAGTGGTTTGGCCTTGGCCTCTTTCATGCTGAGACAACTCTTTGATCCTGTCACCATCACCACCGGCCTTAGCAGTCGTCAGCAGTTTCTCATAGTCCACAATCAATGTGGCGGCACCGCGTTAGGAAACACTTAGTTAAGGACTCGTATCGAATACAACCAGATGTAACAATTCGATAAGTATAAAATCATTCCAACCCACTCCATGTCAGTAAGACATGAATGAGACAACAAGTCACAAGAGATGCTTTGTCTGTCGCAACACCGGCACCTGCACAACAACGTCGTTGTATACCCAGTTGGTTGTGGTCACATGGCAGCGAAGCGTTTGTAGTGTGCCGGCGTACCGTCGATGTCTATAGTTAGCCGGTATGTATGCGTGTGTGTGGATCACACCTACTGCTCTTCGTAACGCGCTTTAACTGTTCCCCGAGTTCACACAGGACGCCATTTTTCAGGCACCATTTTTATCCCACCCAGTGGGCTGTCGGCGTTCAAGTAGACATCATGCGAAAGCGAGTTTCAATCACTGGGAAATAGTCACTGTGTAATGGGAATAAACTGGCGTGCTACTGGCCTGAGTATCGCCTGATCTCATAATCAACTTCCAACGGGCGTCCGTTCAATGCAATATTATACCGGAACTCCCCAAATTTGTTCGCGCTGACTTCCTAAGGCGTGTTGTGGCACCAGTTTCGATCTACGATGGTATGGTTGACACAGTCGATACATTCACGCGCTTTCACACTTCTGAGGGTTTAATCCCTGTGGTCACCCACGATCCTGCATCTTTTCTGGTATGCGGCACATCATCCTCATTCTACACGTTAGCTAGAGGTGGAAAACACCTCAGCTACTGTGCCGCAATACATAAAAGAGAAAAGAAAATAAATACAACAATTGCATGCCAGCTGAGCTACCAGCAACGGAAGGACATCGATCCGGAAAGCTACCATCCGGCTACTAGGCAACAAAAAAATTATATAAGGTTATATTATGCTACGCACTGAGATCATGGTTGGAGAGGAAGGCTAATAGAGATGGGAAGGGACAAAGAAACTCACAGAAGGAACGCCATTGAGGTCGGCTCCTAGCCATATCTGCAAGCGTATCTAGCCCAACGGGTTCATCGTCTTTCGGACCCCAGCCAGGGAGCCGAGACGCTCCAACCGAGGCCAGCTCCGAAGTGAAAGCCTTCATTCCTCTTGACCAAGTTATCACCTGGCCACCTCTCATCTTCTTCCATCCACACCCCCGGCGAGCAAACAACGCACATCGCGGGAGTCGGTAGGCTGGCATGCGTAACACGTGGCCGAGCCATCGGAGCCTGATGCGTGAAATAACGGTGCTGAGCGGTTCAGTTCCTTTTCCTGTGCCATAAACAAGGCATCGAACACGCTCGTTGCTCACGCGGTGTTCCCACCAGATGTGAGCTAAATTGCGAAGGCACCGGTGATCGAACGTAACTAGTCTCTTCAGGTCCGCTGCTTTAAGCGGCCATGTTTCACAACCGTACAGTAGGGTCGAACGTACCGCTGCATTGTACACTCTACCCTTCAGGGCAAGAGTGATGTCGCGCCGCCGCCATAGGTGGCGAAGGCTAGCAAAAGCACCTCGAGCTTCTGCTATACGGTTAGTGATCTCATCTTCGATCCCAAGGACGCTGATATATGGCTTACCAGGTAGTTGGATTTCTGGACAACTTCTAGCTGATCCCCACCAAGGGTCTGCGCAGAAGGCGATCTCTGCCAATCTCGGAGGAAAGCTTTGCACCTCGATGGTGCAAACCAAAGCCCGAAGCGACTGACAGCCAGTGCTGAACTATGCTTTCAACAAGCCAGCTAATCGGACCGCATACATCCGACTACTGATTGGGATCTAATCAACCAGAGTGGCTTCATCCCGGGGACCCAGTGCAATGCCAACACCAGCTTGGCCGGTGCTCGAAGCTGCATCGTCTCCGGATAGGCCCAATGAGAAAATACTGCTGGTGTCACCTGAAGGGGATCGCAAAGTGAGCACAGAGCTCGAGTCCTGCAGGTAGGTCTCCGATAAGCAGCAGCTATCGATCGAGAGGGTCTCTAATGTTCGGGTAAGTGCTGCTTGTTGACCGATCTGTAGCAATTTGCGTACATTGAGGTATACCAATTTGAAGGAGGATCGAGGGCTCCAAATGGAAGCCGATGAACTGGGATGGACTGCTTGGTTGGACATGGGCTTGTCGACAGGACAGAGGCGACGCTGCGCGTTTGCATGTGAGTTGAAACTAGAAGCTAAACGCCTATCAAAGTAAAGTGGGGGAGGGTTGAAAAAGGTGAATAAAAGTGAAGTTGGAACGGGACGATAAGGGTGAAAGGCGTAGGAGGAGGATAAGAAGCCGGGAAGGCTTGAGCAGTAACATCCAAACCCCTATCCACCCTGTTCGATGCAGCAGATAGGGCACCGTTGATTATCCTCTGCGGTGACCAGAGCATCGAGAATTTTTTAAAGGAATGTTCATTGTATTGCTTGGGCAGGATACTGTCAGGTTGCCCAGGCCTAGTCAGGAGAACGATTAGGATTCTCAACCAAATCTTTTCATTCAAAAACCTGTCCGCAAGGTAGCGGGTTTGGCACTGGGCTACAAGGAGTCCGTTTTAAGGAATAAGGAGCCACCCTCATTCCAACCCCGAACCTGGAGGACCAGGAGGTTGAGTTTGTCTGGCCTCCAGCTGTTGACCACTCTGGTATGAGTGGCTCTGAGGGTGCGAAAAGGCACCATCCAGCATGGCTCAATGGATCTCTGAAGCACACAAACCATCGCACCACGGTAAGGTCCAGCCCCATTACGATGGGAATGCGGCACGCACATTGCCAATTCGCTTGAACTGACGTCTGCTGATTTACTGTGGATAGGGCTCGCCACATTTTTTTCCAGTGTCGGATTAACCATAAGGCTGAACGTTTGTCAGGCACTCAGTGGAGAAATGTTCTAACAGTAGGTTTCACCGTACTATTGAACTGTGTGTATTTGCAAGCCAAACTACATATATATGTGAGTCGGAGGAACCGCAGAGTACTAAAGGCGCGTAGAATTAGGCAGACTAGGTTTCGTCCAGCTGTGATGAGGAAGCACGATGTCTGCTGTATATCAATCTCATCACCTAAACTATCGTGGGAGTAACTGCAACCGGTGCCTGTACTCTTGGATACAGTTCTATCCGGATGGACATACATCAGTGAGCCGTTGGGACACTTCTGCATTCCCATGATATGACCCCGTGTTTTAACACAAGACTTTTCCCCCGACTAACCGTGATGTTATCTATTGGCACAAACGACAAATCGGCTTTGTTAATCTGTCATGGAGGATTCAGAAAGAGATTTTATTACACTTCAATGTCATTTCAGTCATAGTTTTCATCACACGTGCCAGAGCCGGGGAGGTAAAATGTGAGATCAAAGAGCACATGCGCATCTCATTTACACCGTATCTTTAGGCTTGAACTTGAGGAACTCTACTCTAACCCGGACACCACATGACATGTGTTTTCCAGTCGATAACCGACGTTAAACCAAACTAGATCACCCAACCGTACGAGTCAACTGACGTTATTCCTTGTTCGACTGTTGGTCATTTTAAGGTACTTGTCAATTTTTATCGTGGTCATTTACAAACACGGAAGCAAAGTGCGCCGCCAACACGGACGCACACTAAATGCTAGAGGTTAAGTGCTGTCTGTCCGAACCCTCTAGCACTGGTAGATCATCTGCCGGCTTTATGTGCCACTTCACATAAACGAAGAATTTCTTCGTGGCGGTCTTTGTAGTGGTTGCGAGCTGCTCTTCGAAGTGCCGATGCTTGTTCGTTTTTTTTCACTATTTCAAATATTTCGCTGCTTCTTATACGCCTTATAGTTGTTGGGAGAGCCGGAGGGGAGGAATTTGTCCCACAATTCGAGCCGTCACCGAGCCATTTTACCATTCTATTTGTCAAACCAATGTGGCTTGTCTGGTTCAACTTTTCAACACTTTGGGATACAAACCGCGAACACAATAATGTCACTCCCTCTTTCATAACAGTCCGACAATCTTCCACCGATGTAGCTTGCATCATAGACCAATCCACTTAGCTTACCGCTCGAGTTAGATCGTTGAAGTCCGTTTTCCAGTATTTGTAAGCTGATTCCAGCGGACAGGAATACGGTAAAGGTAGATCCATGCTGAGCACTGGGCGATCGCTTGCTGCTAGGGGCTATAGGACCTAAACGTCATACACACGTTGGTAACATCAAGTCTAGACACGAGGGAGTTGTCGCGGCGTTATTTGTGCCGACTGGCATATGTGTTGCGCTGCTCCTCTTTCAATTGTGACGTTCACGAACCTTGTTTCCATTTCGCAATGTCCGAGCATGATTTAATCTTCAGGCAACGTACTCGGGAGTATAGAAATAAGCCATAAGTAGAAAACGGGGACGACTCATGTGGCTTCGGAGATACAGCAATCAATCAAGGCAACCTCCGAGGGGATTGCGGTAAAATACACCCACGAGCAACTCCCTGCGCCTAAGATGGGTCGCTTCTGTAGACGCTCACAAGTCTTCCACACAAAAAGGCCGGCTGTAGGGCTAGACGGCACCGCGGACAGTGGAGAGTCTATCGATCTCTTGTGCAATCACTTCAGAATTCAGTGCTGTTTCTGCGAGTCTCACTACGTCTGGCCGCTCAGATGCAAGGAACGACCGAATTCATCGCGCTCGTTCATAATACTGCAAATGTCGGTAAATGCTACACGCAGGCCACAGCACCAACCACGGTGTGCTTGAAGTGTGAGCAACCTGTTTATCCTACTTGTGTAAACAACCCCAACATTTACGATACGGAGTTTTGGTTCCGTATCGCCATTTCGTATTTTCAACACAATTATGACAGACTTGAGCCCTTCTCGATTCACCGGTTCCAGGTTTGGATGAACATAGATCTTAAAACCCTTCAGCCTATTTAGGCGTGACAAGATCAGCCACAAATTGGCTTCGTCCACATAGCTGATTTTCATTGGCCGACTTTGTTGTTCACCCTTCTTTCCAAGACGAGTGATTTGTTTCACTTTCAACCCGTGCTCGCCCAGGTCGAGGAGCCCATTAATTAGGCTCGGTAAAAACTCGACGTCGTGATCATAGCGTATCTGGGGTGTTGGATTGCTGGACACAGGCGTGTAGAAGCTCAAGAGGCTAAAACGTCTCTGATCGGTCAATGCTGCTCTTGCCGGGCGAGCATTTTCCCGAGCTTCATGTGATTTGGCCTGCCGTTGATTTGCGAAGGCTAAAGTCCTTTCATCCTTCTGCTTTTTCTTTCCTTTCGCTTTCCACGTGGCTTTCACACACCGGGACATCTGTGCCCGTTGCATACAACACAGATAAAAGGTTCGTGTCAGGTGAAACGGTGTCGCCCGCAACCCTGGGAGTTCGTGGTTGTGAGATTACACAAGATAAACAGTAAACCTTATGTAAAACCTGGAGGTGATTCGGGCTAGCTTGTTGGGTCAAACACACGGTGTTGTTCACAACGGAATAATTTTGCCTACAAGGCGGTTTGTGATTTTTTCTACTTTCTCTGGTTGTATCTCGTTTCTGCAATTCTTACACACAGTTTGAACAAACCATGTTGGATTTCACGAAAACGCCGAAAATGCTATATTAAAACCTGTGAAACTACAAGTCAGACCTTTTAGAATGCCACATAAGAAAGATTAGATTATCACGGATTGCAGACACCTTTTATAACAGGTTCCAGTATACAGTATTCAGATAGTCCAATGCATGAAATGTGGAATTTGACTTGTCACGTAACACATTGTTGCATTTGTTCGATTTCCGACAACCTTGAAACAGGTGCCGCAGGGTGATTGCTTCGGCACTATGAATAATCCGAGACCAATACGGCGGCTAATTGTGGAACATGAGACGATTGTTAGATCTCCAAAATTAAACGGAGATACCAGAAGCATTTATGGTGGACAAATTCACAATCAGAAGTGAAACTGAAAAGTGTCGTAATTTCTGCGAAATAATTTCAATGCATGGAGAAATCTAACCAGATCTAATATTGTAAACACAGCCAGAAAAGAACCAATGCGAGGCAGCTAACCGTAGATAATAGTGTAATGCTTTTTCATTTTTCCTTTCCTAATTTCGAGTTTTTGTCATACTACCTTTACTTTCGTTAGTTTGATCACAGGAATTACACCTGGTGAATACATTGTGCTTTACTTCCGAAATCTTCATATGTTTGGGCACAACTACACCTATGTGTAGTCACAAGGGCCTGTCTACACCCTAATGGGAAATCACCTTTTCCTTCTGCCTCTTTTGCCTTCTCCGTCAGTTGTTTTATATCGGGTGGGCTGCATCGCTTTCCCATTTCTACCCTCCATACCCAATTCCACTTTGCTCACTACCTACCTATTCGTTGTGTTTTCATTCAATCTCCGGTGCACTGTCTGTTTTGTACTCGTACCGAAGTGTTTCTGTGATTGCATTTCTTCGCTGTTAATGGAGCTTACCATTAATCCATACTTGTCCATCACCGTCATCCACACCCATGGCGTACTTAGGTGGGATACTACTTTTTCAACTGATTTTAAAGATGCGCCTGCTTTTTCATGCTCCTCGCTGTCGCGTTTTCCTTTTATCAATTGATTTTGCACTCCATATACTATTATCGAAAGCGGTTGAGTCTTGGCTCGACTTCTCTGGTGTTTAGTTTTGTTTAACTTATTTTCCTCGTATGTTTCCGATCTTCCTTTTCTCCAGTGCGTCATCTCAGCGCCCCTTGCATAAAAATCGTGGATTTGACCAATCAATTTAGGCCTCTATACTTAGATCGCACAGATTTCTTGCCCAATCTGTGGAGCACTTTCGTTCACCCACCACGAATCAAGGATACGACCCTAGTGGAACACTCTCCAGCCCAAACGGCTTGCGGAAGCGGTACCCTCCCTGGGGCCAGCATGGGTCTGACCTGTATCCAACAGCCTAGCCATCCTATGACCAGAACGCAGTCTGTTCTCAGTCGGCGGAGCAATCATACAAAGAAACGAGAGCGTAAGTGCAAGAAACCTAGCATTACAAAGAACACACCTACTCTACGACGTTCAGTCAGCATACCCATCAAACTGGGTTGTGCAATCGAGTAAGCATGTTACTCTTTGGTGCTTACGTCACTTTTGAATACTCGTTTTCACCTCTGGATTATTTTTGCTCTTGCACTCGTGTGTAGACCACAATCTCACCTGCAAACTCATTTTCCTTTCCACAGTCGATCCAAAACAGCAATAGAAGAACCCTCTGGTTACTGCGAATGTTGTTCACTATCATTCTCAAATCTGCTCGAAGTGAGTTAGCTACGTCTACCAGCTTCGCGTACACCTATAGAGTATTTTGCCTACGAATGGCATGTGTTTGTTTGGGTGTGGTCCTGTGCACATTTGCACACTCGACTACATGCTCACTGTTTCGTGTACCACCATTGTGCTTTACACTCCGTCCGAGTGGCATATCTTCATTATACACGTTTGCTAGAGGTGGGAACACCACAACACCGAGTGGCTATAGGTTATACATGTACTTTTTCCCTTTTTTGAACTGTTCGTTTTACGATGCATGTGTGGCTGTCCCGTTCTTCATTAGGGCAATCTTGTGGACTGTGACTCGAATCACCCTAGTCATTGTCGCTTAGCGGATTGCTAACTCAGGTACCTCAAGTGTGCAATTCACTGACAGGTTCCCTGAATATTTGCATTTCAGCCACATTCTCCGCTGAGTCTTACTTCTGTTTTCCTCTGTACTAGCCACGTAGTTGCGATTCCAGTTCTCCCAACACTCTCCATCCCATATTATCTTCTGTGCCCCAGATATACTCAGTTAGACCTAAACTGTGCTAACCAACCTGGACTCTGTCTTAACACGATTGCTTTCTCTATGTGGGATCCATGGACGTTCAACGCTACTTCGCTGTGAACTAAACAAGAGCATTTAACCTTGCTGGACAATATGCACGATGATACCACTTTACGGATGAGCTGGCTATTATTCACTCAAACGACTTCCTATAGGAGGTCCAGTGCAAACATGTGCATCTTTGAAGTCTGCATCTCGAATCCACTATACAACAGCTATTCTAAGCATCTGGGCTTTGTTTTCTCTTGGGTAGTCATAGAAACGATTAAGCTCGCGTAACTCGGAAGCTATTAAACCACTATAAGCATTTTTGTCGTCTCATTGCAACAATCTCACTTGGCCCCCACGATTCTTGGTGGTTAATTGGGGAGGGGGCGATTGACATGCCTGCTACGGCGTCACTGGTGCTATTATCCCCACCAGACCACGTTGCGCATTTTCGGTGTTCCAATCTGTTTTCACAGTCTTCTGTCATCATTGCGATATTGCATCTACTCTGGCAATACAATCTTTGGATGCCACTGACTGGTCACTTATTCCCTATAGCATTTAGTCTTGGTCTAATAGCACACTTGATGCTTGTGGGTTAGTCATTCTTGGCCATGGTAACTCGAGATTACCACCCGGCTGCAGTGGTAACGTACCAACAACAACCCGGTCGCCGGATGACGGGAAAGTCCCATATAGACATCACGCTCAATCACTTCGTTTCGAATGCGCCCACGGCTTTGGTGTCTTCTCCGGCGTTTTCTCTCCCTGTGTACTTGGTCCCAGAACTTAAAACTATCCATGTCGAGGTCGATAGTGATATGATTTGCGTGACTATGTGAAGAGGGACCCAATGAATCTGCGGGTCCACCGGTAGTAATGGTGTGGCCAAGTAATACCTGATATCGGAATGACTACAGGATAATGTTAACGTAATCTCCTTTGTTTCTACTTGTCTTCCTTCACACTTCGTGACTCTGCTAAAGAGATTAATGCCCATGGTAAGTCTGCGTTCTTCCCCTTTCTATACTATACTTATGTACCACGACAAATACCCAGTTTTTTTGCTCACTTCCGTGCTTGCATTATGTTTCTTATATTTTCGTTGGGAGAACAGTTGCTTACTATGTCTGATGCTGGACAAACCGTCACTCACTTTCCCCCATTTTCGACGATTGTAGGCACGTTTCACACTTCTTATCTGCTGACTCCCTGACTGCTGTTACAACCGTGATTGATATCTATCTGAGGTTCGTATCGTAGTCGAATCGAATTCCGACAAGTAGGTCCGAACCGTAAAGTCAACGTAGGTTACAGCAACTTGACACGACATCCGCCGTGCGGATTATTCAACCGTTCGATCTACTCTTCCCGGTCAAATACGCGGAACACCCTTTGCATTACTTGGATTCATTTATATTCGTCTACATCCTGTCCCACTTAGCGCAGTCCGACGAAGCATCGTCGTCATTCAACGATCACTGGAACGCGCACTGCTGACGATTTCCAAAAGGATGAAACGGCCATCTGGTGTTTTCCAGATGTGCTGTGGTTATCTGATTGAGTATGTTTGTACGACGAATCTCCATTGAAAATGGAGGTTCTCGAAAAATCGTATGTTCGCAAACGGAGTAGACTTAAGCTTAGGAGATTTTAATATGCTGGTCAGATGCGGAGCGGGCTTCCAGCAATCAGCGTGTAGGACCGTTGGTTAGGTACGGAGTTCGGAGTTAATGTCCCGTCCTTTTTGGATGCCATAATAAAGTAAACTCATGTATTCCCATCGTATTTTAATTCCTCCAACGAATAATCACAGAAGAACATAAAACGAAGCGTGGTGATGGTAAAGCTTCTTTAACTAGTCAGTTTCATAGTTCTGTGATCGATGATATGTTGGATGGAGGTTTTGAATCTTAGTCGATATCACTGGTGGAAATGTCGGCTGATCAGATGGTATCCTACTGGTGACTTGTCTTGGTTAAACCGCGTGATAGTCCTACAGACCTCCCCACCAGTGCGCTAGCCGCACGATGTTCAAGCGACCAGGTGTAAGAAATATCCGGCGAGAATGGCCGGTAAAAACTGACCTCGAGGCGTGGGAGGTATGCAAGCTAAGCTTATGTGTCTAAGGTACAGAGAAACGGTTGGGAGCAAACTGAAGATACTAATGGATGGTGATGGTAATTCCATTGTTCTTAAGTGGCACAATCTTGTTCTTCCTGTTGCTTTTACGAGGCATGTTCTGTTGCGTCCTAGCAGAAGCTGGAGAACAATAAACGAAAGAAAACTGGCAGCAGGCAGTGCAGACAAGTGATCAGCACAACAAGATGATATTGTCAAGATGTAATACACTAGGTGGTCTGGAAAATAAACTTTTCTACCTGACCGTGTTTGCCGCGTATTAGTCTCTTTTGGCTTAGCTTCAGATGTTGGCGGTATAGGGTCACTTTCAACGAGTTTGATGACTGCTGCGTACGTAGTGTGTTTTCAGGACCTGTTGATTGCTTTTCGTAAGGTCGTTCGATGTACGCTGGCTTGAGTCGGTCTACCGAAACTACATCGACTTTACCATTCCTATTGATCATATGGTGTTTTTCTGTTCTAGCGATCACCTCGAATGGTCCTTCGTACGATGGCTGTAAAGGCCTGTGGACTGCATCATTTCGTAGCCGCACGTGTGAACAAGTTGCCTGATCGTTTGGTATGTAACTCTTGTTAGTTTGTGCGCATGTGGCACTAGAATACAGTTCACGCATAGACGAACCTAGACGATGAACTAACTTTGTGGGATCTAGAGCATTGATGTCGATTGGTTGAACGAAGTCAGCCGGAAGTTTTAAGGTGATACCGTATACTATCTCCGCGCAGAGCAACTTAGATCAGCCTTAGGCATCGTTCGAAGACCTCAAAGATGTTTTGAGGTGGCGGTGGAAACGTTCGACTAACCCGTTCGCTGTTGGATGGTACTCAGTTGTTCTTATTCACTTGGTTCCAAGAATGTTAATTAACTCACAAAAAGCGTCGATTCGAATTGCACACCACGATCTGTTGTTATGGTGGATGGGACACCATAATGTGCGATCTAATGAGCCACAAAGTTGCGTGCTACTGTCTCTGCCGAAATGTCCGCGATAGGTACTGCCACGGGCCAACGAGTGAAACGATCGATACAAGTAAGTACTTACATCCACTCGACGGCCGCAGCAGACCGACGGTGTCTATGTGCACGTGACTGCACTGAGCATCAGGAACGGTGTAATTGCCAAGTGGTGCCTGTGTATGGCGGTGCACTTTCGAACCTTAACATAGGAGGTAGTTTCTCACCATGGTTTGCACGTCTTTGTTCAGTGCCGGCCACACAAAACGATCAGAAATGAGTTTGCGCGTTGCACGGATGCCTGGATGTGACAGACCATGTAGTGAATCAAAGATGATTCGCCGATAGGTCGGTGGAACTACAGGTCGTGGCTTTCCTGTCGATACGTCACACATCAGAACATCCGAACTTTCAGGCAGCGGGATGGGTTTTATCTGTAGATTGGTTTCTTGCAGTTTTTGAAGAAACTGCTTATCCTGATGTTGTGCTGTGGCTAGTTCTTGGAGATCAACAGGGGAATGCTCAAATAAGGTGTTGATTTCCGCCCGTGATAAGGCGTCTGCTACGGCGTTGTTCGCACCGGACAAATGCCGAATGTCTGAGGTAAATTGGGAGATGTAATCTAATTGTCTAGTTTCTCGTGGGGAAAGTCGATCAGAAGCGGAACGCAATGCATACGTTAACGGCTTATGATCGGTGAATACCGTGAATGTACGTCCTTCCAAGTAATGTCGGAAATGACGCACACTGAGGTAACTAGCTAAGGGTTCTTTGCTGAACGTGCTATAGCGTCGTTCGGCAGGCTGTAGTTTCTTAGAGAAAAAGGCAATCGGATACAATTCACCTCTCTGTCGTTGTTGTAGCACACAGTCTACTGCTGCATCTGAGGTGTCCACCGTTAACTGTAACGGCGCCTTAGGATCTAGATGCACGAGGAGAGTTGCAATTGCTAGCTGATGTTTTAGTTCACTGAATGCCTACTTAGCTGCTTCCGTAAAGCTGAATGACTTAGCATCCAATTTGAGTAGCTCGGTAAGTGGCTGGGCTAACTCGGAACAGTGCGGAATGAATCGTCTGTAAAAGTTAACCATGCCCACAAACCGGCGTAACTTTTTGAGGGAATCAGGGATTGGGTACTCAGTGATGATTATCACTCTATCGGGTAGGGGTGTAATTCCGTCGGAGGAAACACGGTGACCAAGAAAGTCTGCCGTATCAACACCAAATTGACTCTTGGAGGCATGGATAACTACCCTTTAATATGCAAATCGTTCGAAAAATTATCGCAAATGGCGCAAATGTTTCTCATGCAGCCAAAACATCGTCAATATAGACGAAAACGGAATCGAG